AGGGAATGGGATTGTAAGCCACTTTGAGACTCCTTAAAGTACAGAAAATCAGGGTATAAAAACCCACTCTTCTTCAACACACTTTTTGCACCATTGTTATTGCTGCCCAGTCTCTTCTTGGTCACAACTTTCTTACCTATCCCCCCAGGCTGGCCCATGTTTATTTATTTATTTCTTAGATTATTTCACTACTTTCACTGTCTAGGGTTGCCAGCTCCAGATTGGAAAATACCTGGAGATTTTGGGGGTGGAGCCTGAGGAGGGCAGGGTTTGCTGATGGGAGGGACTTCAATGGGGTAGAGAGTCCACCTTTCAAAGCAGCCATTTTAGCCAGGTGAATTGATCTCTGTTCCCTGGAAATCAGTTGTAATAGTGGGAGATCTCCAACCACCACTGAGGATTGGCAACCCTATACTGTCCAAGACACAAAATCTAAATGCAACTCCTCCAGGCAATAGAGCCAATGGAGCAACTTTTGCCAGATTGCCACACCAAATGTTACTGTGCATTTTTATATGCGATGGAGCATTCACCCACACAAACTGAAGTCCTGTGCCCATCAGTTGCCCACACTTGGAATAAGATTTCAGTGCACAATAGAAAATGTTGATGAAAAGATCTGTGTAATGTTTCATTTTATACTTACGGTACATAGTAAAATACAAGAAAAAAATACATTATTGATTACTGTGAAACAACTTCAGGGGTGTAGACTGCAGGTCCAGCAGAGATACAGCATGAGCATGCTCACTTTATCCTCCTTACCCTCCCAGTACTGGCTGTCGAGCACATTATCTCCACCCCGGTGTATGGACAGGGTTAGGGTATCCCTTTCTAGAGACAGCATGTCCAGGGCTATTTTTTAGCAGGAACGCACAGGAACGGAGTTCCAGCTGGCTTCAGAGTTGGCCACGCCCACTACAGCCAAAACCTCTGCATGCGTGGCTACATAAGGAAGGCCTAGAGAGTGACCCCCCAGGGACTCTGAGGCGGGCGGGCCAGGGGGGCCCCTGGAAGGATTGGGGAGGCATTTAAATGCCTCCCCGTGCCTTCGTCGGCCTGTCCAAGGGCTGGCTTGCCTGGGCAAGCCAAGAGAAGGCATGGGGTGTGGCCTAATATGCGAATGAGCTGTGCTGTCAGGGGTCTGACCCAATATGCTAATGAGTTTCTGCTGTTGGGTGTGGCCTATTATGCTAATGAGTTCCTGCTGGGCTTTTTCTACAAAAAAAGCCCTGAGCTGCATGTCTAAGCAATTATTATGTGACAGCATAACACAAATCATTTAATTTCAATCTCCTTGCTTTAAAGAACACTTTTCCAAGTGGAGCTACACCCACAAGAGAGCCTACAGAGACCTAGCCCCATCATGCCTTTCTTTGTTAATGTTTAGCTTTCAGTTTAAAATATAGATCTATTCATTTTACTTGCAGAAATACAAGGCAAAATGTGTACCCAGGGTTCTGGCTGATTGCTATAAGAATCAAACCTCTTCCCCCTTCCACCATTCTGGCCAACAAAAACAAAGGCACTAGGATAACTAATAAACATCAGGAACTTTTTAAAAACAAAATGTACAGTTCAGTTTTGATATTTCATACCATTAGATAACTTTGTTAACAGTTGTTAGAAAATCTCCTACTTGAACATACAGGGATCAGAATTTGATAGGTGACATGTTTGACAGCCATGCCATGAAACAATAATTCCTGTCAGACAAGTACAAAAATTAAAGGGATGCTATTCCTAATAGGCAGCTCTTCAGAAACTCCTGCCCATCAAAAACTATTATAAGGCAAACAAAAACATTGAGCAACTCAGGTTTTATTAAAAGTAAATATTATTATTATTATTTATTTTCAGACTAGGGAAAAACATGAAGAACCAGCAAATAACCACCCCCTCCCACACTCCAGTTCAGACAATGTAAATGTCTGCATGCATCCCAGTAATCCTGAAAAACACACATAGCCAAGTAAGGGCGCGTGGATAGGAAAGTGATTTGTTAGGAAGAAATGTGGCAATCTAAATACAAATCTTAGCATTACATTATTTCCACATGGAGTCACCATAGTGGAATTTGTACCAATGGCACTAATAACAGCAGAGTGCCTTTTAACATGTACAGAGTATTATTTATTTTTCAAATTTCTACCCCGCCCTCCCAGCCACAGCTGGTCTCCAAACTAAGTTTGCCTCTCCATTCTCAAGTACCTTGGATGAGAGAAATGTTTTCAGTGTGAAAAAGCATTTGTCGCAAATTCGGAGGCTGCAGCTGGTACAGAATGCGGCGGCCAGGCTGGTTGCTGGTGTCTCGAAATGGGACCACATCCAGCCTGTGCTGAAAGTGCTGCACTGGCTACCTATAGCATTCCAGATTCGCTTCAAAGTGCTGGTGCTCACCTTTAAAGCCCTACATGGCCAGGGGCCGGCATACCTGAGGGACCGCCTTTCCCCACACAGGCCCCAAAGAGTACTTCGGTCGGAGTCGCAACATCATTTAGTGGCCCCGGGCCCTAAAGGCTTGCTACCACAAGGGCCAGGGTGTTTTCGGTGGCGGCTCCTATCTGGTGGAATGAGCTCCCGGAGGAGATCAGGGCCCTGCAGGAGTTTTAAAATGTTTTATCCGTTTTATCGCACTGTGTGCCTTGATTGTGTAACTATGGTGTTGTATCACACCTGTGTACTGTAAGCTGCCCTGAGCCCGCGTGCGGGGAGGGCGGGATATAAATGCAATTAAATAAATAATAAATAATAAATAAATTTAAGAAATCAAGAACTCAGAAAACACTTGCTCCTTACTGCATAAAGCTTTTTTAAAAAGCTCCAATATCTACTCAAAAACCATGCTGCTTCCTCCCCTATAACCATATGTGTATAGATTTGATCTGAATCATAGCTCACCAGTTTAGCCTCAGAACTTTGATTAAATGCCATAGTTTGATTCTGAAAAATGAAATAAATTCTGATCACATGCAAAGTATACCTCATGCCTAAGTACCCACAACTAGCCTCCATGTGTATATGACCAGGAAGAATTACAAGCATTGTGGCACCATTATTTAGGCTGAGTTTCATACTCTTTGTACCTATTGCTTTGGTTTCCTTGTGGTTTGATAACCCCAGAATGATGTGCCACCTCCTCCAAAGGAAGAGTCAGTTAAGTTAGATGAAGGCTTCCATGGTTGGGGAAGGCTTCAAACTTCGATGAGCAGAGTGACGGGATCCACCCCCCGGGTATATCTGGTAACTATTGAGGTGGTCAATTCCTGGTTTCATGAACATGTGATCTGGGATATCATATTCCAAAGGCTATTTGGAATAAAGGCATGTTCCAAGCTTCAGTTTATTTCTATTTCCATTTTGTTAACTGTCTAGCTATTGAAAAAATGTTTTTATTTGCTGCCCACCACAAATAGCGCCTACTTCCTACATTTTTAGGTAGAAGAGTCTGGCCAACAAGACTTTTTGATGGCCTAGTCGTTGCAAAAACATCAGTGTATCAAAGATACCGACAACACAAAAAAGAAGAAACGTGGCAACCTAATTGTATTTTAGTACCTTTGTCTTCAGGTAGGAGATTCTGATGGGCCAAACTGCCTGTTACATGTACCATGTTGTGATTGCTACTGCAGCCATACTGCAGTTTCAAATTCTCCATGGAAATTCAAATCCAAATCACTGCAAGGGGCAGATTCAGATCAGGGGGAAAGGCTTCAGTCTCCTTCCACCACTTTGTTTTCCTTACACAAAACAGTATACGCGCAGCCCCCTAATGGGGCAAATAACTCATCTGGGCCATTGTGAGTTCAGAAAATAGCCCAGGGGAGCCGAAGCCTCTATATCCCCAGCTCGATGGTCCTAATCCAAACTGAGCCCCTGTGACACACTACCAGCATCAGCTCCCAAAGGGAACCTGCAGCTGCTGCATCCCATGGCAATCACATGTTGCACATGTAGCTTGGGGTGAAGGAAAAGATTTTCTGATAGTCTGGTTGTCCAAAACATCACCCACAACAAACACCTGTATTGAGGGAATATTTTGGTTAACTCTGGATTTGACAGGATGATGACCTTCCAGGAGAAACTAGCTGATACAGGTAGCTGTTTCCAGTTGAAAAGCAGCCCCATATAATGAGTAATTAAAATAAAGAGATAATTTTCCTGATTAAAAACAGGCTGAAGCCCTGACCTGGATACCCCAGGCAAGCCCAATCTTGTCAGATCTTGGAACCTAACCTGGGCCAACCCTGGCAAGTATTTAGATGTGAGACCTCCAAAGAATGCCAGGGTTGGGAGGCAGAGGCAGCATACCAAGCCACTTCTCCGAAAGTCCTCCATGCCCCAGTAGGAGTTGCCAAAGGTTGCCACAGCTTCCAGGCATGGGCACACACACATACACAGAAAAACAAAAACAAAAAAACCCAGGCTGCAAATAGTTTGAATAAAACATATCTTATCTAATGTTATTTTGCAAACCACTGAAAACTCTTTGTCTAAATCTTGTCTAGTTGATTGGCATAACAATAGTTTCAATTAGTGATGTCTGACAAGTACTAGCTTCTGATGCTAAGTGCAACAACAAAAGGTAGGCAATTTTGAAAAGAAGGAATGTTTTATGTTCTGGTCATTAGGAAATCTTAACAATGCATGTCATACATTTACGGACATCCCTTCATTACTATTACGAAGCTGATTATCAAGTAAGATAACATACAGCCTTGGAAAAACCAACCTCCCTGAGGCAGGAAGGGAGAAAACCCCACTTAATGGAGGAGGGTGTAAACTGGGCATGGTTTGAAGGACCCCCATGCAGTGACTTTGTCAAAACTAAACAGTTCTGGTCAGCATCTGATGAGGCACCTCTTGGTATCGATGAGTGCCACACTGCCACCTTGAGTGATATTGGGGGTGGGTGGGTGAGATCAGCACAAACTGTGGATGAAAGTAGTGGGGCCATGAGTAGAACAGAAGAAAGAGATCTGAAGGAAAAATTTACTCACATGCCAGATAGCGAAGAAGATGAGGGCGGCACACAGCACCAGGGAAAGCATGTAGCAGAAGGCAGCAAACGTGAAGGCCATGGCGGGAGGAGAGCCTTGCCCAACTGGCGTGCAGGCGCCCAAACTCAGGAACCCAGCCGCCGCAGGAATCCGAGGCGGGAAGAGTTTCTCCCGCTCAGATCACGGGGAGAGCCACACACCAGCCCCCTCCAGGAAACTCCCCCACAGGTAGAAAAGGCACCTCCCGAGCATGATGGGCAGCACACAAGCATTCAGGGGGAGGATCACCGGCGTTTCTGCTGGAGCTGCCACCTGGGGGCACAGAGACCGAATTCCTCCCAAACTCCCGGTCAAAGTAGGCGAAGAGGAAAAGTCACCTCAGAGCGAGAAGAGCATCAAAGGGGAGGCTCACCGCGCGCTCAGCAGTCAAGTTACCTCAAGCCCAAGCTCCCTACCCGGGAAAGAGCCATCTGCCTTTCACAGGAGCCTACGCGGAAGGGGAATCGGGAGAGGCTCGCTAGTTCTCTCCAGGAACCGGCTCTTCACCGTAGAAGCGGATGGCAGCCCCGAGGGAGCGGCGCTTCTCGGCTTCCTCCACTTCTCGGCAAGACTTCCTTTGTTCCGCGGTCTGGTTATGAGGGCTTCGGTGCAACCTTCTCGCTGTCTTCTCCAAAAGCACCTGCTCGGTAGCAAAGTGGAGAAAAGGGGACGTCTTTCATTCAGCCGGCGGCGGCGACGACTGTTGCTTTGGAAGAAAAAAGGGGAAGTCGTTTACCTGCTGCTGCTTGATCTTGAGGTCTCTCTTCCTTTCTGCTGCTTGTGGCTCGTATCTCCAGCAGCACAAACTCACTGAGACCTTCTCGCTTTCCGGCTCCTTTCCCTCCTCTCCAACTTGTGCGGATTCTCCCGAGTTTTAACAGAAGCCCGAAAGAAACCACGTGTCTCCTACATGCTGATTGATGGAGGTCCTTTCCTCTTCTCCTCCCCCTGCCACGCTGCTCCTCTTTGACAAACTGATCTCGTGGGGTCTTCAGGGTCGTTCCAGGCTAAATGTTAAATGAGGGGATTAAGCAGAGATCAGGTTTACTCAAAATCCTACTCAGGTCTATTCAGTGGGGATTACTCCCAGGAAACTGTTTTTAGCATTATGCTGTAAGTCTTCATACAAGAAGTTTGATTTACATGTCATCTTGGAAAATGAGTGAGCAAAATGTATTCTCCCCAGAAGGCAAATATTTTTAACCATGCCTTTGAATGAATTTATCTGAGCATCTCTCTGCTACTTAAAGGGGAAATTCAGAGCCAGAAAACCACAAAAGAAGGCCACATGTCAGGCTATAATGAAAGCAGACCAGTTGTATTTGATGCCCTTTTCCAGCAGTTTTGGAGGAGAATAAACAACCTATCTCCATACTGTAGAAATTAGTTTCCCTGGAGGAAATGGCAGTTTTGGAGGGTGGACTCTATGACACTATATCCTTGCTGGAGTCCCTCACCTCCAAACTCCACCCTCAAATATCCAAAGATTTCCAAACTTTGAGTTGACAGGCGTACAATATGGAGCTTGAGAGCACATCTGAATATTACAAAATTTAAGGCACATCGTTTGATGCTAATAACTGTCTCTTCAGGTTGTTTCCAGAATTACAGAAGCTTTGAAAGGACAAGTGTATTCTACATGGATCCATTAAATTTGATCATGTTACTGACCTTTTGTCTTTCCAAAACATCACTTTCTACACAGCTCAAAACTCTGCCTACAAGTTTATCTATATCTGCGGCCTCTGCTTCACCCAATACCTTTTTTAAAACACAAAGATGCTGGGGAAAGCATTGATATTCAAATAGCAGCATATACGCAAGTGTTTCAGGCACTAGGATTACCTGTTAAATAATATCTCATTAAAGAGACAGGGCAAATTTTCTCTAGGCAGCATTGTACAGACTGGGAAACTGATGCGTATGATAGTTGTCTCCTGTTTATCTAAAACTAGAAAAACATAGCCAACACCACCTAGCCAACACCACCCAAAGTTACAAAATATATATGGTTCCTGATCATTGTGTTAGAAATAAAATAACATCAGGGGGAAGGGGGGCCATCTAGTCCAACCCTCTACTCAATGCAGGATTAGCCTAGAGCATCCCTGACAAGAAGAAGGAAGAGGAGGAGACTGGATTTATACTCCGCCCTTTACTGCTTGAAAAAGTCTCAGAGCGGCTTACAATCGCCTTTCCCTTCCCCTCCCTACAACACATGGCCACCTGTGAGGTAGGTGGGGCTGAGAGAGCTCTTCTGAGGACTGCTCGTGAGAGAACAGCTCTGAAAGTACTTGTAACTGACCCAAGGTCACACCAGCAGCTGCATGTGAAGGAGTGGGGGATCAAACCCCCAGATTAGAGCCCACACTCCTAACCACTACACCCAACTGGCTCTCCAGTGTTTGTCCAGATGCTGCTTAAAGACTGCCAGTGAGGGGGAGCTCACCACCTCCGTAGGTGGCCAATTCTACTGTTCAACAACTATTACTGTAAAAAAGTTTTTCCTAATATCCAGCTGGTACCTTCCCACCCTTAATTTAAACCCATTATTGCGAGTCTGTATCCTCTGCTGCCAACAGGAACAGCTCCCTGCCCTCCTCTAAGGGACAGCCTTTCAAATACTTAAAGAAAGCAATCATGTCCCCCCTCAACCTCCTCTTCTCCAGACTGAACATTCCTAAGTCCCTCAGCCTTTCCTCATAGGGCTTGGTTTCCAAGCCCCTGATTATCCTTATCACTTATTCAAATAGTCATAAATATTTTCAAATAGTTCTAACGTTGAAGAAAATCCTGATCATATGTCTCCATATTTTAACATTGCATCTCTCTCCCTCCCCCTTTATGCTATGCCTTACTTGCCCTTGAGTTGTCTGCATTTTTCCCCTGCACCTTCAGCATCAGCTTCAACCTCTGGCAACCAAACTACAGGTATATAAAAGTTGTGGTTTAGAAACAAGAGAACAGAATTTTTAAAAAGACCTTACCTGTTATGCAAACTTAATTCAGCCACAGATGTATTGCAAAGGCTGTTTTGACTGTAATTTAAATCTGATCATGATGTCTGGCTCTGTTATAGGACAAAAATGGGGAAAACTAATAGAGAGAATCAGGGGTCATTTCCTGCAGAAGCACACAGGAGCAGAGCTCCGGCAGTAAAGAGCCCAGTAAAGAGCGGGCACACACAACAAGCCCCACTCCCAGCAGCCTTCAGTCAGAGCAAGAAGCAGCCAGGTAAGTTGCAGAGCTCCCCCCAGCCCCCTGGTCCAAAACAGTCCAGTGGAACCTTTAAGACCAAGTTTTATCCAGGTACAAGCTCTCCCTCCTCTGCAAGGACAGATCTGCACGTTCCTCCCCCCCACCCCCAATAGCTAGCAATCCAAAACAGTCCAGTGGCGCCTGAGCAGTGGGTGTTGCCTTCTGACACACTTCTGGTGATGTCAGGGGGTGTGGCATATGCAAATAAGGTATGCTAATGAGCTCCTGCACCTCTTTTTCTACGAAATGACCCCTGGAGAGAATATCCTTATTCTTCAGCCTTTTAAAACTTTTCTCTCGTCCTTCAGGCTGCTTTATCCTATATAAGTAGTCATTCTGTTAACCCCTTTTGTTTCCTTGTCACCTATATCAAATCCTGCTCTGGTCTCTTCAAAAAGGATGTGGAATGACAGAGAAGGAACAGAAAAGGGTGAATAAAATGGTGGGGGATAATCTTTTCTCTCCCTGATGCACAAAAGCTGAATCAGTTGTAAGGGGGTGGGGACAACTGGATGATGTGGCAGATGTTTTTATAGTGATGACTGGTGTGCAGGCTTCTGAACAGTCTACCTCATAACCTATTGTCAAAGGATGTTGTTATAGCCATTAGCTATATGAATTTTCAAGGCTTAGGCACACATGTGGAAAACAAGTCTTAGCAGCACTTACTAGCCAAAATAGCAGAGACAGCAACTATGGGCATAAAGAGCATAATCAGACATCTGTATTCTAAATTATAGGGATCTATTTTCTATTCCCACCATTTGTGCTTTAATACGTCTTTGTCACAGTCACCATATTCCTGAGCCATCTTTCTTCAGAAGAGTCCAGACTCCAGTGTCATTATTAGTCATGCCTATGCCTAAGGCAAGCTCTCATTTATGCCCCATATAGTAGAACTTACCCAATGACAAGAATGGTTGCAAACTTAAGATAAACTCTTCCTGCTCAAAGTTCCTGCTGTAATAAAAAGCTTTATTGAGCTGAATTTATAAAAAGGCTTTTAGCATCTAGGAATGTGTATTCAGAACTTTCAGTGATCAAAATCTGAAGCAAAGCCCCTCTATTCTTTAGCAAAACTTTTATATAAATGAATTGACAGTTAAATATAACAGAATAATCACCAGAAACCTTTGGGAAGTACTTTTATTATGGTGCTTCATCATCTGTTTTTCACAGTGGCATATGGCAAAGATATCACACAAAGAAAATGACGCAGTAGGTAATCTGACATGATAGTTATCCAACTAGTTAGCAGTCATTCCCATTGAAGAGGACCATCACCCTAGATATTTATGCCCAGTGTTTCCATTTTATTCAGGGGTTTTTTTGCACCGAGGGAAGAAGACAGGGTCCTTTTTCCTTGCTTTTTCCAAATGCTTTGCTTAGAATTTCTGAAGCTAGGTGGTACAGACTGGGAAAGGATACAGGTAAATCCCTGCCCCACTTCCCGGCAATAAGATACGTATCTGCAGAAAGAGACATAAATGTGCTGTTTGTTTCCTCTGAAAGGCAGGGAGAGCAATAATGTGCTGCAGAGCAAACTGGATGGGGGGGGGAGGGGGAGATTTGGGGAAATGCTTTCCATTACCATCAATGATAGACAGTTCCAACCCAGATGTGACACGAGAGATCTGTGATGAGGAAGGATCTGCGATTTCTCTGTTTGAGACATTTCTCCAGTACAAATCCGCTACCTTTTCTAGCCCAATGGGTGAGAAAGACAAACTCCTGTTTATGCCTTTTTAAAAGATGGGGGTTGAGGATGTCTTATTTAAAAACCA